TACAGATGGCCATTTTACCCACTATTCCACAGTGCCAGCCCCAAGATTTCTTTCTTTAGTTAAATGGTAGAGTGTCAAAGAGAGGAAAAGACATTGAGATAGAAACATGATACAGACAGAGAGCATAAGAGTGGCCAACATCCATGGCTGGACTAGACCAAAGCCAGGAACCAAGAACTGCATCCATGTTTCCCACGTGAATGGCAAGGTCCCAGGAACTTGGACTGTCTTCTGATGCCTTCCCAAGTACATTAGCAGGAATCTGGATTCTATGAAAGCAACTGGAAGTTGGACCAGTAGAGTACAGGCACTACAAGCTACAACTGAATTGTTCATGTCACACCACCAGCCCGGTTCCTTTCTTTTTAACACTGGTTATACCATACTTATTTATTCACTCATCTATTGAGGTACATCTTGGTTGCTTCCACATTTTGGCAATTAGGGACAAACCTGTAGTAAGTATCTGTGTACAGATTTTGTGTGGATTTAAGTTTGTAACTCACTTTGATTGCTTCCTCATTTTCTCAGGAACAAAGTGTCATAAATCTTTGCACAGATTTTATGTGAAAGAAAGTTTTCGATTTATCTTGATAAATAACAAGGAGTTTGATAACTATTGTATTATAGAAGTATGTGCAATTTTATAAGAAAGTGCCAAACTGTCTTCAACAATGACTGTATCATTTTCATTTCCACCACCCAAAAAACTTCCCATTGCTCTACTTCCTCATCAGCATATGATGTCGAATTTCCTTTCATATGTTTGTCACCTATAAATTTCCTCTGGAGAGGTTCTTTCTCTCTCTTGTATTTTTTCCTGTGCAGTTTATTTTTTTTTCATGTTACATTATGGGCTGTTTATTTGGGATAACAGATGTTTACAGCAGCTTTTACAAATAGTTTCTCCTAGACTGTGACTTATTTTTAAGTTTTCTTTTATTTTTGGCATATCATTTTATTTTAAAACTCAGTCCATTTTGTCAGTTATTTCCTTCAAGGATTATTCTTTTGATATGGTTTGTAAAAAGTCATTTCCACTCCATGGTCATCTAAGTTTTTTTCTAGGTTATCTTTTAGGAGTTTTATGGTTTTGTGTATAAGGTTGTTCATTGCTTTTGGGATCAGAGCACATACTTTGTGTGATTTCAATCTTGTTAAATTTAATGAAGCTTATTTTGTGCTGAACATATGGCATATTCTAGAAGATGTTCCTGTGAATGTGTGAAGAATGTACATTTTCCTGCTAGAAATGCAGATGATTGTTCTATGGATATATGTTAGATTTATTTGGTTTATAATGCTGTTAAAGTCTTGTATTCAGTTTAAAAAAAATTTTTTTTTCTGCTGTTTTATTCATTATTCAAAGTACAATAACAAAATCTATTTTTATTGATTTATCTATGGCTTAATTTCTTTTTTTTATTCTTAACCTTATTTTAATTATACAATGCATAATGGCATGAAGATATCACATGTCACCTGATAAATATACTTCTTATGTAACAGTTGTTTTTTTCTATCTATGACTTAATTTCTTCGAGTTTTTTTTTTTTTGGTTGCATTTGTTTCTGTTTGGTAAATATATGTTTTCAATTGTTATGCATTTCTGATGAAATGATTGTTTCATTATTGTAAATTCTGTTTTTCCTCATAGTCACAAATTTTGTCTTGTGCATTTTTGGTAATCATTTATCTTCTGGTTGCTGATTTGATAATTTCAGGAGAAGTTTCTATTCATTAAATGTTTGCTTTGTTTCTCTCATACTTGTTAAAAAATAAATAGACATTTAAAATAATGTGATATTGACACCTTTGGAAGTTAGATCCTTCCATTTTCCCTGGAGATTGTTGTGCATGGTATCACTGTTCCCTTATTCATTTTTTGGATTAATTATTTAAAAGCTGTAGTCTCTTGTTCTGAAGCCACCAAAGTGTCTGGTAGGTTAGCTTAGTGGTTAGCTAATAATTAGAAAACAGCTTTGTTATATTGTTTCAACCCAAAAGGCTTCTTGTCTTTGCTGAAGTGCTTTGTATGTGAATATGCCTCTCTTCTCATATCCTGCTTGTGCAGAACCTCAAGGATTCCCAGGAATGTGAGATTAGGGGTTTTTCATGTCCGTCATGGCTATTCACACAGCCCAGGCATGCGTACTCATCTCTTTATCTGTTCCTAGATGACCAAAACCATTTTGCAACCTTTCAATGAATATGACAGTGTCAATGAATTTTGCTAACACCGTGCACACTCAAATTATTTAGCCCATAATGGATTGATATATATAGCAAAACATTAAATTTTATGAAGCTCTGGAAAGGCGATGAAAAGCACATTGGTGTCTACACATCAGTTAATCTTGTCCACATTTTACCCAATTTCTAGAAACTGCCAAAATATTAAAAAAAAATTTGCTAACTGTGTTCTGGAATTAGTAAGGTAAAAGGTAAGAGGAAAACATAGATGTATGCGTGAACATGAAGGTGATGGAGGGAACAAAGGTGATAGCCTAAAATTATCACACTGGCATGGTGGATGACATTGAGCAAATATTGGGATAGAAGTAATGAGGAAAAAAGGATGAGTTTACATGATTGGGAGTGATACAGTGATTTCAGAGATAGTAAGAGTATCAGTGTCCCACATGTGACACACATTCCTAGGTGATCTGTGGGTTCTTTGGCATGCAGAAGTCACCTATCTTACTTAGCTAAACCACATGAGACTTCTCTGACACTTGACTTTATACAGAGGTCAAATGCAAGAGTACTTTAAAAAGTCCATGATAAAATACAATTAAAAGGTAAATCCATTTTGGTGCAAAATTTTAGAAATCCATGCATTTTTTGCAAAGTATATTTCTTTTTTTTTTTGCAAAGTATATTTCTATAAGCTTTATTTTTTTATATGATAACTTTTTTTAGATCTCCTTTTAGTTTTTTTTTTTTTTTATTACATTGCGTTATGTGACACAGTTGTAGGCACTGGGATCCCCCCCAACGCTTCCCCCCTTGGTGGATTCCTCTACCTTGCTGCATTGCCACAGTTCAAGTTCAGTTGGGGTTCTTTCATTGCAAGCATATACCAAGCATAGAGTCCAGCATCTTATTGTCCAGATAAGTTCAACGGCTTCTTGTGGAGATCATCTCTGGTCCGAAGGTAGAGCCAGCAGAGTGTCATCCCGACCAATCAAAAGCCCCGACATAACATTAGCAACAATCCACAACATTATGGAATTAGTGGACATAGTATTGAGTAACCCATATTTATTGTAAAAGATTTATTTATTTAAAAGGCAGGACGAGAAAGAAAGAGAGAGAGAGAGACAGACAAACATTGAGAATGAGAATCTTCGATCTTCCATCTGTTGGCTCACTGCCTTCCACTTCCCTTCCCAGATGTCTTCAATGTCCAGGGCCAGGCCAATGTCAGGAGTCTAGAACTCAGTCTGAGTCTTCCACATGGGTGAGATGGCAGAACTCATTCATTTCAGCCATCATCGGTTTCGTCCTAGGGAGTGCATTAGCAGGAAACCAGGATAAGGAAGGAACCAGGAACCCCAAATACTACAGTGTGAGATGTGGGCATGTGAAGTGGAGGGTTAAATCCACTGCACCAAACACCTGCACCCATACCACATCTGTCCATAATTTAAAGGGCACATGAATCTCCTAGAAACTTTATAAAAATGCAATTTCTGATTTCTTAGGTCTAGGGTGAAGTTAGGCTGTGGTGTATTTCCTTCTAGCTTTCAGGTGGTGATGATGTTTCTGGCCTGAGAACTGCATTTGGAATAGCAAGATCCAGAGTTTGGCTGGACCTCTCGGTGAAAGTCATATCTTAAAAAATTCATTAAAGATAGTTTTTCATAAATATAACTAGTATATATTATTACACTGCTATTAACTTCCTATATGCTAATATTTGAAATCATTTCCATCGCTGTCCCCCAGCGATGGACTTGGTGCATGGAGCCGATAATAATAACACGCGTGGACTCTGGCTGATGGTCAAAAGCCGAAGTTTATTGGTGGCATCAGACTTTATACACTGAGGGTCATATTGAATAAGGGAGGGAGTATTGAGCTTATCAACAAACCCATCAACTGTTTCTGTACTTTTGTTTGGAACTCCTTTTGTTTTGTGTATTCCACCAAGTGTTCTCATTCACATGCTGTCCACTCAACTGTTCTCATACAAATGATATCCAATCAGGTATACAAAAGGTATCCGTTCGGTTGTTCTCATACAAATATTATCCAATCAATTGTAATCTGTGTTCCCTGACCTTCTAGGGTCACAATGTCCTTCTACAATTGACCAAAAAAGATAAAATATTTGTCTGGCCATATTGCCATGAGTTCTTTCTACTCATTCCTTGTTTGGTTAGAGCCCTTGAAAAACACTCTGTGAGCAAGTTAAATCTGTGCATCTGCTACACAGTATCCTAATCAGGGCTGCCATCTGGTGAACGCACAGAACAGCCAGGTGGTAGACATGCAGTCATGGAAAGTGCCTTGAAGAGGCAGACCGGCCATCTGTGTCTAGTTCCAGCTTTTCCTGCTACTCTAGGTTCTTGTGCTCTGTTGAAACTATTTTCTGCTGTGCAGAGCGATTGTGTATGTTTGTTTTCGTGAGGTGTGAAAGCATCTAGAGTGCTGCTTATAAAGGGCATTCAAAAGATACTACAGGAGATCCTCTTAAGAGCATAACTAGGGTCTTCCAGACCTTGAGTAGAGTAAGTTGAAAAGGAGAGGCATTGAGGATAAACACATGCTCTTTAAGAAGCAATTTGCTGATTTGTCCCCTCTTCTTTAACTTGAGGCTTTTATTGCTCAAACTTCTTTTCCCCTCTGAAGATCTAGTAGGTTAGCTGCATCAAACACCAGCTGTCTGCTGCTGGGAGTAGATTTTTTTTTTTCCCCCATCTGCATTAACAGAGATGAGAAAATCGGTCAAAGGCGAGAATGTTGACCATTTCTTTGTTTCCCTTCCTTTGCAGATTATTCCTCTGCCGTGCAGAAGTTTTCCCAGACACTGCAATCCTTTCAGTTCGATTTCATCGGAGACACTCTGACAGATGATGAGATTAACATCGGTGAGTCCCTCTGGGAGGTCTGAGACCATGCAGCCTCTTTGGTTGGAGGGCATAGAGCACCTGGATAGCCTCATTCCCTCTGGCCCAGTGCCAAGCTTCTGGGAAGCTGCTTGGGAGGGATAAGAAAACATTGCCTGCCAGTCCCACTTCTCATAATAGCAGTCAAAAGATATCTCTGAAACCTCTACTGAGGCCTGGCTCAGTCAGTCTGCAGGGGGGACTTTGTTTAAGGTATATAATACATGAAAGTAGGTATTTTCATAGAGGATGAACTGGAGTGATTTTTTTGGGGGGGAGTTATTGTCCAAAGCTATTCAAAATAAGAGTCCTTTCAGGAGCATATTCCCCCAGAAAGTTTGCAATTGTGCACATATAATGTTTCAGGCAACAAGAGTTTTGGCATCTCCCTTGGAAACCGGCTTGCTCTATTAGCTGCCTGATCTTGAACTGGCTGTTTCCCCTCCTAGAGTATCAGTGGTAACTCCTGTAGAATGGAGTTATTGTCTCTCAAAAAATGTTAGAGGAAATTGAATAGTGAAAGGTGAAAGAACTTTGTGGATGTAGTAGGTTGTTAAGAAGTTAAACAAAAGGTCAACAAACAATGGCCCTTGAGCCAAATCCAACTTCTCAAGCTGGTTTTGTAAGTGAAGTTTTATTAGGACATTGGCACGCCCATTCTCAGTGTTATCTATTGGTGTTTTTGCAGTCCAGCTGGAGTGTTGAGTGGTAGTGACAGAGACTGGGTGACCTGTAAAAGCCTAATCTGTTTACCTTCTTGTCACCTAAGAAAAACTTCATTGACTTCAATTTGAAGGATTAGTGGAGAGCATTTGCTGGAGGAGAAAACTGAAGCACAGAATTACTAGAATGACCTAATGTTACTGGAAAATGAACTCAATTATATTTATAAACCCAAGAACTAAAACATAAAGATGACATTACTGTGCCGAGTGTAATAAATTTGAGTGATATATATATAAGTTTAAAATTGCCTAAGATAGTAAGATATCCCTTATTATTTATAATAAGAGATCATATGATCTCTTAAATCTTTTCTTGTAAATGTATATTCCTGTATTCAGTTGTGTTTGTATTAATTACACGAATGTATCTTTTCAACCTAGCATTTCTGTCGTAAGCATTTTCCAATATCATTTAAAAATTGTAAGTTTCATGTGGGACAAGTACATTATTATTCATTGCTCTTTCCCATGCAGAAAGGTGCGCCTGGCATATGCTCAATATGTATTTGGTGAATGAATGAGTAGTAGATGTATTTGAATCTCACTATCATAGGAAATATAACATTTTAATAAATTGTTGGATATTTAGCACATTTCCAGTTTTAAAATATTGTACATAGTCGGATATTTAGGATATTTCCAATTTTAATATTTTACATAGTACTGCAATGGTTATGTATGTGATTCTGATTGGTGAGTGATTAGTTTAAATTAGGCTATGTAAATAATGAGATATATGACTATTTGGGCTGTTTCCTTATTCAGTCTATGTATGCAGATCTGTCTTGGCCCAAGGGTGTGTGACTCACTTACAAGTTAATGTCATGGGCTCTGGAGTCAGACAGCCTAAATTGAGTTTTACAATTTATTAGTTGTGTAAATTTGGCAAGGAATTTTACCTCTGTACATGCTAATTTTTGTCATGTGTAAGATGGTGTTGAAGTCATCAGTGTGTGCCAAGTGAACATAGTGGTTAAATAAATGTTAGCTAGTTAATATTATTGTTAAAATAAGCTTGGATTTAGTTGTGTTCCTTTCTTAAAATAACTGTTACTTGACGGTTAATTGGTGACTTTGAAGATGGCAGAGGAGTGGGTGATACATGGTACATGGAATTCCATAAATGCCTCCTTTGTTTCACAAGAAGGGTCTGGATCTCAATAGGTGCCTGTTTGCACCAAAGGCAACTGACAAAGCAGAGAGCTTTCCCTGGTGTACTTTATGCAGAACTTTGTGCTTAAGCTCTCTCACCTCTTTGAACTTCATCACAAATATCAATAAGTAAGTGCAGGAAAAAGGATGATGTGTGAACCTGTGCATAGTAACTTGTAGAGACGAATAAAAATGACTGGTGTCTGTGGGATTCATGAAAACTTCTGGCTGTGAAATCTTTGCTTCTTAGTGTCTAATTTACAATAACTCTTTAACTCAGTTGCCATTTGCCTGCCAATTTAAGAGGCTCTTAGTTATCATCTGACTGTCACTCTTAGGGATACTGACTCAATGAACTGACTTTTATTGAAGGAGAAGAACTGAAGAGAGGTTTTGAGAATTCATTGGCCTGCATGGTCATTGTCGTGTTGAATTTGTCATTTTGAAAACTGGGAGAAGAGTCATCAGTGCCCTGGCAGCTGAGGCTGAGGCTCTGTGGAGGCTTTGAGAAATCTGGGGTTTCTTCTGGGATGCTATTCTTGGCAAAGAACAGTTGCTTTGGAAGCTGAGATAGCAGAGTTGGCTCCAAGTCAGTACATTGCCTTTTTCATTAGGAAAAAAAAAAAAACTGGGAAAAATAAGATGGAATTTTGGATTACGCTGTCAGATTTCACATGGCATGTGCAAGCGACCTTTCCAGAGTGAGTTTTCCATGAGGACTCAGAGGTAACTCGATCACGTTAACCCTCTTATTGGTACTGATTACCTAACAGAGATGGCTCCGATTCCCAGGGTGCAAGAGGAAGAGTGCCTTTCCGGTTGATCAGTTCTAGGACATATTCTTTTCATTGTGTGCAGTATGGACAGTGGAGAAGTGGTGTTTCACTTCTCTCATGACGTTTGTCACTGCCGTACATCAGGACGTCCATACTTTCAGTTGACATTCAGTATCCTTTTTTTGTGCTTTGTTGGCCCAGTAGCCAAGGGAAATGCCAGGTTTTAGGGAGTCCTGTGTCTACTTCGGGTTTTAGTTTAATCTGTTAGCTATGGGATCTTGGCAATGTGCCTTGAGCTCTGTTTTGCTTATCTGTGAAATGAGGAGTGCAACCTATATGAAGAAGTTGTAAGGAGTAGTTCAGATAACACATATGTGAAAAAGTGTCAGATAACACATATGCTCAAAGTCTGGCATAAAGTCCATACTCTGTAATTCATAGTTGACAGAAACGGTTGTTGCTTTGAAACTACACTTCTACAAATTAACTATGAAAGGAAAATGGAGAATCATAAAATGCTAGTGTTACCAGGTACCTGAGAGTGTGTCTAGATCTCTTATGTCTAATATGGCTTTATATCAGAATCCTCTAGGGGTCTTGTTGGTCTCGAGGGTATGCCTCTCGGTCACCTGACTCCCACTAGGCCCTACCTCTTAAAGGTAGCACCACCTCATAACATTTGCCACATTGAGGACCAATCCTACAGCATCTGAACAACCGGTGGACAAATTAAATCTGAAGTGTAGCAGCTTCCTGCTTTCTCACAGTGCTAGGAGTGAGAACAAAGCTTTCCTAATCGGGTTGAGAGAATCTGCTTGCTCTTTTTTGAGGATTCCTGATACACGCTTTTTCGTTTGTCATCAGAGTGTGGATGTCTGTAGGTGCCTCCGTTGCCTTGCACCTTTCCCTGGTACTGATCTGAGTAGAATTTCTGAGTAATGAGTGAGATTTAAGAAAAGACATGCAGATAAAATATACAAAGGCATATGTGAGGGAAGAAAAGTTATCTTTCTCCCCAGACCCATCTTGTAGACATTTGGGGAATGAAGCTGAGAATAGGAAAGCTCTGTCTCTCACATAAATAAGCTAAGAGAAAAAGAAAAAAAAAAAAAAAAGAAAAAAAAAACCCGGTGTCATCAGATACCTGTTCCAGCTTTCTGGGCACTTGGGGTTCAGATCACATTAAGCATTGTCTTTCCGTGATTCCACCTCAACTCTTGTCCAACATGTTAGCAATCAGTGAACAATTTCCGGCACATCATAAACCTCTTCAGTTGAAGTAGGGTCAAATAACAGCCCCTTGAGGACCTCTGTTGATACTGCTGCTTGTTGACCCACCCTTTTCATTTCATAAATGCATCATTTTCCAAATGCAGCTTTCCCTGCTATGCCATAGAGATGCACTGTCCCCCACAAAATCACTTTTTTAGAGAAATACGTATGTAGTTTCTTCATAATTGTGTTTTCTATGGCCTTTTTGAAGATTTCCCATACATGAATTTCAAAAAGTTTTAAAACAGAATAAACTCATAATTACAATTTCTGCATACTCTTTCAAGTGCCCTTGTATGTCCAGTTCAAAGTAGCTGGATCATACGGTAACAATCTGTAATTTTTAAAAAGGATTTATTTGTTTTTATTGCAAACTTAGATATACAGAGAGGAGGAGGAGAGAGAGAGAGAGAGGATGGTCTTCCATTAGATGATTCACTCCCCAAGCAGCTACAACAGCTGGAGCTGAGCCAATCTGAAGCCAGGAGCCACGAGGTTACTCCAGGTATCCCACATGGGTGCAGGGTCCCAAGGCTTTGGCCCATCCTTGACTGCTTTCCCAGGCCAGAGGCAGGGATGGGAAGTGGGGCTGCCTGGATTAGAACCAGTGCCCATATGGGATCCCTGCATGTGCAAGGTGAGGACTTTAGCTGCTAGGCCACCACGCCAGGCCCTAACAATCTAATTTATAAACGAAATCTCCATATTGTGTAGTTGTTTTTTTTTATGAAGATATGTAATTAGTGAGAAGAGAATATTTCTAAAAGATTTATTTGTTTTTAATAGAAAGGTATATCAGGGTAACAGAGAGAAAGAGAGATACTCCATCCTTTGGTTCACTTTCCAAGCAGCAACTGTAGGAGTTGAGCCAATCTGAAGCCAGGAGCCAGGAGCCTCATCCAGGTCTCCCTCACGGGTGCAGGGTCCCAAGGCTTTAGGCCATCCTCAACTGCTTTTTCAGGCCACAAGCAGGGAGCTGGATGGGAAGTGGAGCAGCTTGGATGTGATTTGGTGTTCATATGGAATCCTGGCGCTTGCAAGGGTGAGGATTTAGCCA